CCTAAGTTTCCACTAGCCCTGTAGTTTGGGGTCACAAAAGCATCAAAACATCCCCAAGTCCCAACATACTCCATTCAATTGCCTTTCAAGTTTAAGATATTCTGTATTTTTAAAAAAGAAAATAAAAAATTTCAAATCACACATTATATATATAAGGTTAAGAAACTGAATACGAGATTAAGAGTGGTGTGCCGTGCAGTGAAATATATATTTTATGATGAAGCCAAATATGCCAAGATTACATAAAAGATAAGGTTCTAGTTTCCCGGATTCAAAGAGCTACCTCATCCTTGGTCACTTTTTGTCTTATCGCAAAATTTCCTTTCTCGATACTTAACAAAGTAGACTCTTGCTGACTTCTCCGTGAAGTCTGATTTCTTCCTGGAAACAGACGTCCTCCTCTTCATTCCAGTGCAGTTTTTACTAAAAGCCCACCTGTGTTAGCCTGACCATCCAGGAGTTCTCCAAATGACTTTCTTTTCTTCCTAAGTAGATCAGCCTCATTTTTCGGAGAAACTGGGGAACAGACATCTTCCAGCCTGCTTTCACATCCTCTCCAAGATACAAGACCCTGGCCGCTGGGGGAAGAGACAGTGGCACAGGGAGCCCCATCTTCTCCAGCAGCTCTGCTAAAGTCACAGGACTGGCTGGGTGGGGGCGACACTGGCAGCTGGAGCCGCACCCCCGTCTGGAATTAGTCTTGCCCAGGCCTGAGAGATGGAGAAAAGCCGTGGCCCAGGGCAGGGTCACATTATGACTTTCAAGGGCCCCAGGCACCTTTGACTTCGTGGGCCCGTTCCTCCATAAAAGAAATGTTAAAAATTACATTTTATGATGGCAGTGGTATAAAAAATACCAGTCCAGCCTAGATTCACTCTTAGGCCTTCATTATTATTCTATTTTTTTCTTCTGATTTTAAAAACAGTCAAAATTAAAGCACTTTGTGGGTCCCTAGAAGCACTGGGAGCTCTAGGCTCTGGACCAGCAGGCCAACAATCCGTACGACCACCCTCCTGCCGGAACTGGGAACACAGACCTGCTGGCCCTGCCCACCACCCCTTCTCCCTTGGCCGTAGAGTTCAAATCCCTCACCCCAGCCTCACTGTGACAGGGCTGGTCCCTGGGGCCCTGATCTGCCCTTCAGTTTATTCAGGGACAACTAGGAATAATAATAACAACAGTGACAACCTGAAGTCCTGGGGGCCAAGCCCTGCTCAAAGCACTCTATACGGCAGGCTCTGGGTTCAACCACTGGCTACGTGACTGCCGGCAAGTCAGTTTTCCCATCTGTGGAATGGACGCAACGCCCCTCCCACAAGGACACTGAGGAATAAAGATATTAACACATGCAGCAGGCTCAGCCCAGTGCTGGTGCAGCATGGCATCTCAGTCCCTGTCGGCAATTAAGATTAATCCTAACCCACTGGCTCATTATATAATTAATTATAGTAATTGGCTCCCGTAGGGGCTGCCCTGCCTCTGCTTTCTCCTCTACCCTAGAAGGCGTTGACCTTGGGCTGAGGACCCCTCGGTGTGAGCTGGTCCGGCAGCATCAGAGCCCAACCCTCTCCCCACAGGGACTCAGTCGATGCTCGCCCACTCCTTCCCCTCCCACAGCAACAAACCAGAAGCCCACCCACCTCCTCCAAGCTTCTCACCCTCCCCAAACACCCCCCCACCCCCCCCCCCCCCCACCAGTTGCCTTGTTCTCAAGGGGCTCCTGAAAGGCCAGCTTCCTGGTTCCTCCAGGACAGGCAAGTCAGGGGCTTGGCTCTCTCCTGGTCTCATGTTTCTCCCGGGTTTATTTTCTCCCAGGCATGAATACAGAATCCTTTCTCTCCACCACTTGCTTATCACATCATCTGGCTGCTACATCCCTCTCAGTTACTGTTTTCTGAGGACTTAAAAGTCTTCTCCCTCCCTGCCCGCCTGGTCACTCCTGCAGTGCGATCCCGAGAAAAGAGCAGGGGGCTTTGAAGCCAGCAGGAGCCGAGTTTAATCCCAGCTCCACAACTGACCAGCTGTGTGACCTTGGGCAAGTCAGTTAACCTCCCTGAGCCGTGCATTGTTTATCTGCCTGAAATTACGGAGATGATCTTATTTTCTTTAGCAGTGGGACTCCCCGCTAGAAGGAAACTGGGGCTTTTTGAGGGCTGAAAACTTTGATAAGCCCTTTGAGGTAGGGGGAAGAGCCTCCTACCCACTTCCCCACGAGAGAGGCTTGAAGAACCAGAGACAGCTGCCTTGGACTGGCCACCAGCTTTTGTTTTGTGACAGGAGTAAGCAGGTTGAGGGGAGGGCTGGATGCTTGGGATAATGGAGGGGATTCTTTGATGCTTGGTAGAGAGAAAGAAAAGGAGAGATGAAACCACTGACAAGGAAAGGAGCCTAGACACTCTGCAGCACCTCACACCCAACCTGTTCAAAAGGGACCCATCATCTCCCCCAACTGCTCTTTCCCCACCTTCCCCATCTTGGTGGTACCATCCCATCCTGGCCAAATGCCAGCCCAGATCAGGGGTCTGGCCATCTAGACCTAGGGACCCCTCCCCAGAATAATGTTTTCAGCTCCATAAAATAAAATAAAAGGATATAGAAGAAACCAGTTATACTGAAATACAATTAGCAAAATATTCAAACAAATGTGTTATATAGTAATATATGTGCTTCTTCATTAGCATGTTAGATAAGATTCAGCGGAAGCTCTCAGAAGTATTGCCCTTTTGAAGGAGTGCATTTCAAGATATGTGCATATGAAAAACGTGGTTCCTATTGGTGACTATGTCACAGGTGCCGCCCACGACTGTGATGCGTTACCTCCGCTCATATTTGAAAGATATTCTAAATGTCAGTTGCAAGTTAGAGAAATAAAGATGTAACTTCTCCCCCATCCAGGTTCATGGACTCTCTGAATTCTGTGGACTCCACACTAGGAAGCTTTGACCTAGAGTCTCGGTTTTTCCAACCCACTCATTCCCGCCCACCTCTCCTAGTCAGTCTGCAGGCACTGTGCCTGCATCTCCTATCCCCACAGCCACTGCATGGGGCTGGGGCCTCACCCTTTCTCACCTCCTGGCCGGCCTCCTCACCTCCATTCTGGCTCCACTCCTCCTGTGCTGCACCCTGAACCCTCATCCCCAAATGCAAACCTGACCGCATCACCCTTTGCTCTGGATTCTTCGATGGCTCCCTATTGCCTGCATGATAAAATCTACAGACCAGTGCAAAGCACCAAGACCCCTACCCGGCTCTCCAGCCTCATCTCTCAACACTCCCACTCGCCTGCCTTTTCACGTTCCCATTAGTTTGAACTACGTGAAGTTTCCAGAATATGCCACGTCACTAAGCTTTTTCCTATGCTGTTCCCTCCACCCAAAATGCCCTCCCCGAGCTGTCCAACAAGGCAAACTCTTAAAGATTTTTTCCAAGTCTCAGCTCAAATGATTGCTTCCTCAGGCCCCACCCCACCCACTGGCACCCCCTGGGCAAACGTAGGTGCCCCCTTGCAGGACTCACCACACCCAGTTCATGAAGGTCAACTTGCCACATTACAAGGGTTTGATGAGTCTGTGTCGCTACAAGATGGCAAACTTCAGGAGGCCAGGACTGAGTCATTTTTTCTTTGACTCCCCCAAACCTAGTACCGACCCCGGAGCCCAGGAGGCCTTCAGTGAGTGTTGGTGGAGTAAATGAATACAATATGAAAAAAAAAAAACTGATTTCAGGCATAATAAACACATTTAATAACAGCAAACAAAGAATAACCCATCTCTCGATCTGGAATAGCTGAAAACAGGGTCACGGGGGAAGGGGAGGGCGGCCAAAATCGACACTGTGCTGTGACGATCTCTCTGCTTTTCTTTTCTTCCCTTTACTGTTCTGGTTAGATTTCCCACATCCTGGGAATGACAATGCGCATGTTTTGATCTATGCAGCATGCTATAATTTCTTGAATTCCGCTCTCTATTCTTTGAGAGATCCTTCTGTTATATACACATACCTCAATTAGGGGGCGATTATCTCCCTTACCAAAAGGCTCATCGTTTCGGTTTCATTAAATAAAGAGTTCTTCCAAGTGCATGAAGAATAAGATTAGATTTATAGAAATTCAGTTTACATTTGGCTTTTTAGGAACAGATGTCGTACACAGCCAAGCCACTGCTCTGTCAGGCTTCCTGAAGTTATGGTGTACAGGCTCCTTTGACTCCCTTCTGGCAAACTCCTGGCTTAACCCCTTATGACCCAGGTCTGCTGAGGCTATTCCGGGCACCTGGCCATCTAATCCAATGACCTTTGCTTGGAGCCTTCTGTCCCCACCTCCCTGAGTCATGCTGCCACCGCTGACCATCCAATCTTTCCTAAAACCCTCAAAGTCCTTGGCCTTTGCCCACAATCTCTGCTCACCCCACCTTCACCATTGAGATTCCAAATGTGTTTGTTCATCAAGCTTCCTGCTGGTCATCTCCCCATGGAGGTCTCAAGGGCAAATACGATAAAGCAGATGAGTGAGGTGCCCACCACACCCAGCAGGCTCCCCTTTCATATCCCTGTGAAAGACGCCACCGTCCGCCCATTTTCACGACCACCTCCCTTTCCCTCGTGCCACAAATCCAATCCATCACCCGCCATGGGGCGTTCATCTCCTGAATACATCTCCAGCAAACCCATCTCTCTCTCCTACGTGTGTTAAGCTCCATGAAGCACTGGAACTGTCTGTTTCCATTCATTACTATAACCCCATACTTATTAAACACATGACCTGGCACACAAGACACTCAGTAAACACGTGCTGAATCAGAGAACAGGGGAGCAGACAAATCCTACTTTACAAATTGTAACACTGAGGTTCAGAGAAGAGAAGTGATTGGCTCATGGTCACTTAGGTGGACCAATCAGGACTTAGCCCGAGGGTGGCTCCAGCTCCCGCATTCCCCTCTGCTCTGGTCACAGGGTTGGTTCCGGTGTGTTCTTGCCCCACTGCCCGAGGCCCTCTGCCTTACCTGAGAGCACCGTGAAGACCGCCGCAAAGGCATTGAGCTTGAGCCCGTCGATGACATTGCTGGAGTGGAAGAGCTCGAGACACATGAGGCTGAAACCAACCACCAGCAGGAGGATGTAGAGCACCTCGGAGACGACCGACAGCCACAGGACCCCTGCACGGAGGAGGTAGGGAGGTCGTGAGGTGAGGACGCACAGGGTGGACTCTCCCTGGGTTCGTTCCACCCCACGCCCCTGGGTTGGGGGATCAAGTCGTTTTAGGGAAGACCTCGGTTCTAGGGTGGGTCCTGATCAGGTAAGGCGATCCTGGCCAGCCATCCTCCTCACCAGGACTGGCTCAGGAAGCCCGGCTTAAGTCAGTCAGAGCGTGGCACTCTCAGGATGACAGTTACTGGTTCAGGGAGGCATGTGACCAATAAGCGGGTCCATTCAGATAGGAGGGAGGAACTTCCATCCTGTGGCTGAATGGGAGGCTCTCTTTCTCTTCTCATCTGTTACATGACTGCCACTGGGAGCCATCTCACGGCCCAGAGATCACCTGCCTTAGAATGAAGCTGACACTGGTTACTGAGCGGAGCAGTGGAAAGATGACCTCACTGGGCCACGCAACCACCAGCCCCGAGGGCTTCCCTGTGGCTCAGCTGGCCAGTATGATGTTCTCTGTTACTTACAGCTATAAGCATCCCAACTCTTACACACATCATGCTTGCCCTCAAGGTACACCTACATTTTTATTTACCCTGTTCCCTACTCCACTTTTTTCTAGATACCACCACTACTATTCCCACAGCTTCAACCTTGTGGTTCTCTTGGGAGCTGCCATGCTCTGCTGTGGTCCCACCCCACTGGGCACAGCTAATTGATCCAATGTGATCACGTGACCTAGAATTGGCCAGTCAAGGCCCTTCTCTAGGAATCTGTGCTTGGAACCCACTGAAGTAGACAGGAAGAGAGGCCCAGATGGGAGTCCAGGCACTCTGTCAGTACAAGCGACTGGTTCCAGCTGTTCCTGAAGGCCAGCTGCACCCCATCCTGCCAGTGTTTTGGCTATCCAAAGCTTCTTTTTATTCCTTAACGTAGCACAGCTCCCTCTTCCCCCAAATTGGTTCAAATTGGGTTACCATCATTTGCCACCTAATTTAGGGGGCGTCTTCTGTTTCTCCCATCCTACATTATTCTTCCTTCTTCCTACATGCTTTTTATTTGAAGAACCCCTTTCCTCTCTCAGTCTGTGCAGTTTAGTTGCATCAGATTCACACCCTGGCTCCATGACTCGTATCTGGCCAGTCAGAACTCCGTGTCCTTCTGACTCTAGTCATTGGTTCAGGAATGAACCTCTCTATGCCTCAGTTTCTTAACCTATAAAATGGGAATAATAATAACTCCTATCTCATAGTATTGTGGTGCTGCGAGGATTCACACAGCAACGTAATGAGCTTGTGCTTAGCATATAGCAAGAGCTCAGTTCATGTGCGTCATTACCATTGTTGGATGGGAGGAACACGGTGGGGACTGGAAATGGAGCCGAGGGGTCCTTGAGTGAGGTCAAGGTTAGAGCCAGTCAAGAGGGAGAAATGACACTGTGGGAGCAGACGTGATTTCTGAGAAAAAGGGTGGCGAGTAAGAGGTGGAGCACATCATGTGACTTACCTTCCAAGCCACGCTAACCATAGGTTTTGAGAAGGGACTAAGGATGGACCAGGCCTGGCCAGCCGGAGATGAACACATGACCCAAATCAGTTCAATGAGTCAGGCACAGGACTTTTGCTGAAACTATTGGGAAAGAAAATTCCTTTTTTCCACTGGGTTTGAGGCTGGGAAGATGGAAGGATGGAAGTGACTGCATCAAGTAGCAAGGGCCTTCCTGGGGGCAGAGCCAAGGCCAAGGAAGGTGGCACCAAGAGATGGAGGAAGACCATGTCCTGTGACGTTGAGCCCCCAGATCCAGCCATGCCTACAGCTGCCAGTCATTTGTTCTTTCAATCACATGAACCAAGAGATCCTTGTCTTTGCCTAAGCCGGTTTGGGGTAGAACTTCTGTCTCTTACAACCAACAGTCCGGACCTTCAGTTTTTCTTTTCTCGGAAGCTGTCCTTCCCTACCTCTCTGCCTTTGCACAAGTTGTCCTTTCCACCTTAATGCCCTAGGGACGCCCGATATACACCATTCAGTGAAGGAAGCAAACAAACAGCAATGTCTGAGCCCCGATCTATTCTCTGATGAAGAATCCAGATTCTCAAACACCCACTATCATTCCTAATGCAACGGGGCTTTCAGAGCTTTGAAGAACTTTTTTCTTTTTCTTTTTGCTACAAAAATATCGCATCTCCTGGGCAATCCCTTGGATTTCTGTAAGAGAATAATGTGCTCTTGGCAGCCTGGATGTTGTTAAAACATCCCCTGGCACCATACACTCGCAGCCTCTGAGGCCCTTCGCTGGCCCGAGGCCCACCGGGCAGCGAGGAGGAATGCAGGAGGTGCAGGGTGAGCTGGGCCATGCAGGGGTGCGGCTGCCCTCGGGAAAGCCTGCTCTCCCTCCCAGCAGCCTTCACCTCCAGCTGCTGTTGCCCTGCTGGTGGGCGGAGCCTCACCAGGGTGAGGCTCACCGACTCAGCTGACTCCCCCGCAGTGCCCCTGCTTCCCCAGGGGATGCTCTCATCCCGCCCAAGTGGGCCCCTGGCCAAGCCTCCACCCCACCCACCACTCCCCATAGCAGGGCCCAGCTCTGCTCTTTCAGATGGGATGGGCGTGGGGGACTGAGATGCTCCAGGAGTTAAGTTAACCATGGAGAAACAGGCAGTGGAATCTCAGCTGCATGGCTGGGGTTATGCTTCTTATTTCTGCCAGATTTATTTCCCTGTCTAGCCACTGGGCTCAGAGCATCTGTCTGCAAGTTACAGCCCACCTAAGCCAAGGAAATTAATAACTATAGTAAGAAGTGGAACTGTTGCTGAGGTTATGCTAATAGCAGCAACAATGTCACAGTAAGGGCCAAGGGATATTAGGTGTTTATCACGTGCCAAGTCATACTGGACAATGTTAATGTTCCACCCAATGTCCTTGCACCTCTTTTTAGCGTTTCTGTCTTTGGAGGATTGTCTTTGGGCAACTGGACTACATCTTGCCCATATTCATTCAGAAAGTGCCTGGAAACTTACATTTTCCTCTCTGTTCTGTTGTCAACCAGTGGCCGACTACGGTAGTCCAGCCCCATGGCTCCGGTGGAGACCACCCTGGGTGGTGACCCACACTGCAAAGCTCCCTCAGGGCCAAAACTGAAGCTGCCCTCTCTGGGCCCTGGCCTGACATCACCCCCTCACTTGCCTTCCTCCCTTCCCCGTTCTGCTCCCCTCAATTCCCTTACCATTCTCCTCCAGGGCATTTCCTTTATAAATGACTTGCACATGGATCCTCAGCCCAGAGTCTGTTTCTAGGGACTCTGGCCTCAAACACCAGCATTCACATGCATGATCTCCCCCAATCTTCCTGACAACTTTGCAAGGCAGCAGTGCAGCACCCATATTACAGATGAGCAAACTGAGGTTCAGAGGGATTAAACCACTGGTCTACACAGCTGGATAGTGAGTGATATAGTCAATCTGGGTTCAAACTCAGGCCTCTCTGACTCCAGAAACCATCATGGGTAGGGAGGTTGTAACCTATCAGGATAGAATGGCCACTCTGAAGTCATATCGAGGGAGTTGGGTTCCCTGGCGATGGCTCTCATCTATGTGCACTCCAGCATCCCAAAGAATTCCTGCATCGGAATTCTTGCAGGAAGATGACCACGGAATGGGATTATGGTGGGGGAGGGGGTTCTCAGTGATCCTGAGCCCAGCTGGCCACCAGGTGTGGTGGGGAAGGAGGTCGCAGGGAAGAGCAGACGGATCTTGAGGATGCTGGTGACTCAGGCTGGGACCTAGGACCTGGGACCCTTTGCTGCAATGCTCGTACCCGGACAAAGTCTCTTTGAGCAACAAAACACAAAGAAACTATAAAGGACTAAAAATAATTGTGCGCATTGGCAGTTGGGGCAAATTATGATTATGGAAAACAAGATACGAAAAGACAAAAACCCCAACTGCTGGGGCTTCCCTGGTGGCGCAGTGGTTGAGAGTCCGCCTGCCGATGCAGGGCACGCGGGTTCGTGCCCCTGTCTGGGAAGATCCCACATGCCGTGGAGCGGCTGGGCCCGTGAGCCATGGCCGCTGAGCCTGCGCGTCCGGAGCCTGTGCTCCGCAACGGGAGGGGCCACAACAGTGAGAGGCCCGTGTACCGCAAAAAAAACCCCAAACAAACAAAAAAAAACCCAACTGCCACTTCTGAAGAGCCAGGAACAAAAGCACAGTACTGCACATGCCCCTGCACACGGCACCACCAAAGGGGTGGGCAAAACACCTAAGCCACGCCTCTGGCCCGACCCCTGGACCCGCCCCTACCCTCTCCCCATATAAGGAACCAGCTCGCCCCCCCCACCCCATCCCCACCCCACCCTCACTCCGGGAGCCAGCGAGCAAGGGAAACTGTTGCTTGTTTTCGCTCCCTCTTGCTGCAGCAGGGGCCCCAGTAAAGCCTTGCCTGAATTTCTTGTCTGGCCTCTTATCAATTTCTATTGATTAAGGAGGCCAAGAACCCTGGTAGGTAACACTGGGAACCAGGCTGGAAAAGATGGGTTTGACCCATGCTGCAGAGGCAGGTGCAGTCCTAAAGGGCTTAGCAAAGGAAAGACACGCAGGGAGGCTTGCTCTGGAAGGGGGTTGGCTGCAAGACCCGGTGGAGGTTTGGGCCGCGCTCCATGAACAGATGGTGGTGGCCTGGGCCGTGGCAATGATGGGGGCGGGGGTGAGGACAAGTGGGGAGCTTGATAACTCCAGAGGGGTGGGCTCAGTGGACTGCTGACCCATGAATGCGATGGCAAAGGAGAGGGAGGAGTCCAGGGCGGGGCCATGTTTCCAGCGCAGGCGTCTGAGCAGATAGTCATCGTTCCTCAGTGAGAATGGGATGATGCTAAAGGTAGGAAGGCGGTGAGCTCAGCCACTCCTGCATGTGCAGGGTCTGCAGCAGCTGCAGGACCTCCAGTGGGGATGTGCAGGAGGCAGCTGGAGCTCAGACAGGGATGTGGGGACATTGGCAAGACATGGGCACTCACTAAACG